GGGAAAGACAAAAAACAATCATCTGTGTAGATATACCAAAAAAGATCCCAAAAAGGGAAAGTCTGGTAATGCCGATGTTTAAATTATACTTAATCATTGTCAAAACTATCTATTGAAAAATTGTATTCCTGAGAATACCTATCGCTACTGGATGCTAACACATATTTAAATATCTAGATGTAATGTAATCTTAAATTATTTAATAAGTGGCATAAGTACAAACAATAATAAGTTATTATTTTCTATTATTTGAGTATTATTATATTATATAAATTATAAAATAATTAAATGTTAGTATTTGTATTATAATATATTTTATTGCATACTTACATAAATAAACTTCTTAAAAGCATTATAATTATATATTATGCAAAATAAAAGTTTTCAAATAAATCGTAAAAAAACTATGGCTCAACACCCTATAGAATATTAATTCCTTAAATTTATCAAATAATGTTGGTTTCATTAAGAAATGAAAATTCGTTTTCCTCAATTATTCACGATTTATTTAATAAAGTCAAAGTTTATACTATAATATATTTTAAGACATTAAAAAATAATATTAATAGTAATCTAGATAATAATTCGTTTTAATCGCTTTTTGTTTAGCTTATAGTTTAGTTGATATACAAATTTAATAATTATAAAACTCATTTTTATAATGGAATATAAAATTAGTTAAAAATTTTGTTAAATAAAACAATCTTTAACAGGAAATATTTTGCTTAAAGAAAAGTAATCAATACAAGAAACGGATACTGATGAACATCTTATAATCAAATGTTGTACAACATTATTTGTTCATTAAAAACCAGTACTATTATTAGAATAAACTAACTTTATATACAATTTTGTAGAATACAATTTCTCTTCGTGTATATATATATATATATATATATATATATATATATACACTAATTTTGAACAAAGCAAGATTTATACAAATATAGTATATTTCATATGAAATTTCGTGAGAGTTTAGATCAGTCTTTGGAGTCGAGATGAAAACTCATATCCAGCACATATCATCAGTGAAACAGTCAGTCCTGGATGGTACTAGCAAATGGTCTGCAAAAATCGCCATTACAGGTTTGTGGCCTTGGTGTGTTCTTCGGCCTTAATGCAGAAACTTTGAAAATGGCATTATATTATATTTCTTTAACCATAATTGTGCATTTAGTACATGTGCCTCAAGCATTCTATCAACTGCTCAGCAATTGTTATTGTTCTATTATTACATATTTTTAATCGTAATCATTTTTTGCATATACTATATATAAACTTTGGCATTAATGATATATTTTATATGTTTATTGTGATCTTCGTTGAACATATATTTATATGTAGCTTAATATAAATTATTACTAAGTTACAAATATAAAAATAAGCTATATAATAATGTTAGAATATATACCTAATTATTTTAATTGTAAATTTAACATTGAAAGCAAAATTTATTATTACAAAGTAAATGAATATTGTCATTACGCAAAAGATATTTCGTAATAATTTTTCTATTATTATTTAATCATTTTCTAATTACACTGACTTAAATCCTTTCTAAATATAATTAAAATTTAATTTTTTTGAATTCGAAAATAGTATATCATTACATTTTAAATTTTAAATAAAAATGATACCTAGTATTTATATTTAAATAATTTTAAATATTTATTTGGAAAATTTTTAATATATGCCGTTATATTCAAATTCATAATTCAATAATGAACAAATAATTAAAATAATAAAAATACAATAAAAATTAAAAATATAAGTTTAATTAAAACTTTATTATAGACTTCACTACTATTTAGATTAAAATTTTATTTTATTTTATGCAAAAACATTTACATGTTTAAAATTGTATTATAAACATATTATTATTATTATAATATCCCGTATGAATTATATTTTTCTTTAAACGAATAAAATTAAATTTCATTAAAATTACTACTTTCTAACTTCGCTATGAATAATGATCATATATAACTAATAACAAAAGTAATACTTTTTTACACAAAGTATATTTAAATTATTTAATTTATAAATTAATAAACAAAATATATATAGAAACGTTAATTTTTGTCTTTTATGTATGTATTTTTATTTTACTCAAAAATTATAAATTTTATATATTCTAAAGTTTGATTTAGTACTATAGATGTCATATAATTAAACCATTCACAAAAAGCGGAGAAAATCGCTTTCTTTAGGATGTTCTTTATTTCTGTATCTAATGAAATAATTTCACATTATTATATATTCATATTGTCATTATTATATATATGATTATTCATATATATAGCAAGATGAATGTGCTTTCTGTTTATTTGCATAATAATTACAATAGTATTAGTTGCATTAATTAATTAATAGTATTTTTTTTTATTATTATTATTTTATTATTGTTTTATTATTTATATATATATAATGTTAATAAATATTTATATAATATAATAATTAATATATATTAATTAATAATAATTACATAATAATAACAATTAATATTTTTATATTACCAATTATTTTACAAATATAAACTTCATTCGTAGAGCAATATTTAATTCGTAAATTATGAAAATAATTTGAAAATGAAAATACGTCTTATTATCTTAAAAATGTACTAATTAATTACAATTAATTGTATATTCAAGTATGTTATATTTTTTCTATTTTTCAGAACATAATTTAACAATGATATACAATTATGCATAAATTGTTTATTATGTCTTTAATTTTAATGTTATTATACAAATGTATTTCTTTTAAAACATGTCTTTAAAACAAAACGAAACAGTTTCTTGAGTAGAGATCTAATTAAAACGATTAACTTATTAAGAAAAAAGTCTACTCAATAAAATCGGTATTCATTTTTTATGTTATGACAAACTAATGAGCTTGGAACATTTTGTGATATTAAATTATCAAGTACACTACTTCAATAGTAATAATTTCATTGAATTGAAAAAGCTAATATTTAAACAACATCATTCATATGCGATCAACTATCCATTTTGAATTTATGATAATGGAAAATTGATTCATCAATAGTTACATGTTAGATTATTTCGAATAAATTTATGATTTTGTATAGATTCAATTGTTAAATGTATTCGCTTGTAATTTTTAGGAATAATACGCTAAACAATTTCATTAAAAATTTTTTATGAATGAAAATCAAGAAACTTAATTCGAGATGTTTTTTACTCAGGTCAATCATCAACTATTTTTGTTCTATATCTTATGCATAGTTAAACTATTAGTAACTTTTCAATATTGACCCATTCAAAAAATTATATATATGCAATAAGCAAAACACTACAATTCATTTTTAATTAAATAGTTGACATACATTTTTCTATTAAATGTTGTATGTTTTCGATTATAAAATATAAAAAGTTTATCAACGGCTGAACAGTATATCAAAACTACTACCTAATACGTGTATTTAAAAAATTGATTCACAGAATTTATATAAATAGTTTTGTAAAGACTAATATTCCAGAATTTATAATGAAAAAAAAATTACTTCATGTATAAATTAGGTACTATTAAAGTTCATGTCGATAAAATGTTATTCAAATTTTTTTAAGAAGCGTCTAAAGTATAGAAACTAAAATTATTTTTTTATATGCATATATATATACTATTGAAAGAAAAAACGTACCATATTAGAAATATAAACATATAAAATTGCTCAATTTATACAAATATCAATTTTTCTGCAATGTAAGAAAATTATGTAATAAAAAAAATATTTCATTTGTAAAGAAAAGTTATTGCAAGAAAAAGTCAAGTTCAGCAGATTTAGAAATCGTATTTTATAAATACTATTTAAACAAAATATTTAGTTTATATTTTAAAATTAATACACTTTCGGATTATTTCTAATTATAAATTGAAATAGTATTTTAGATCATGTTATTTATTTTTACTATAATTTATTACTACAACTTTGTATTTCATGTTATTTTTTCAATTTATTACTATTGAGAAATTGGAAATGTTAAAAAAAAATAAAATTCAAATTGATCACTAAGCTATACATATCCAAATATTCTATAAATTATATGTTCAATAGATTTTCAACTATTTAAAAAAAATTAACTTTTATTATATATTATACAAAATATTTATTTGATATGATATGTGCATTTAAAAATCTTAAACATTTTTTTTATTTTAATAAATTATTTTTGAAAGCTTTTCAAACACATTTTCTAAATTTATATAATATGTTCAATAACAAGTATCAAACAATTTTATTTTAAAACAATAATTTATCTAATGGTTTTTTATATGTATCTAATATGTTTTTTAAAGTAATAATAAAAAATTATATTCCTTTTTAAATGTTTTTAAAGAATAAAATATTTATAAAATTAATGATAATCATTTATAAATCTAAATTTGAAATGAAATATAATTTATCGAAATAAAGAAATTTAATTTTATATTACACATAAAGTATACAATATTTAAAAAAATTTAATTTATTAAAGTCTGTTAGTCACATTTTCCTAAAAAACATTTTTACAAAAAAAAACAGGTAAAATATTAATATAATTTATAGTTATAAATAAATTAACAATTCTGAAATTTTATTTTTTGTAACTTGTCCATCTTATTAAAAATTTAAGAAAATTAGATCAAAGTTTTATTACAGATACAAGCGTTTAAAAAACTGTATATTATAAAGTGTTAATGATTTTTAGACTATAATTAGATAGAGCTTAAATAAATTATATCTCTCTATATTTAAAGTGCATTCCAAATTACTCGAATAAAATTTTATTATAAAGAATAAAAAAATATATGAAAAATATTATGTTAGTTATCGTTCAGATATACTTGAATCTTATCTTGATATCTTGATATCTTGATATCCGGAATGAAAATCAGATATCTTGAATCAATAAAATATATCAATTTTTCATTCTTTAAATTATATAATGATGTAATTAAAAATTATCAGAAACTTTGATTGTAATTCTTATCAGTTCAAGTTATTACTGGTCAAAAGCATTATATTTAAAATAAAACGATGTTAATTAGTTTATTTTCGAGTATATCATATAAATTAAGTCTTATTTGCATTTGGAATTGGAAAATAAATATTATTTTCAAAGTATAACTTAAAGTTACTTAAATAAGTTAAAAACGAAGCCACTAATATTTTAAATTATAATGTACACACTATTGTTATAACGAAATATTAGTTTTGTATTTATTATCATAAATTCTACACTAAGATAATATAAAATTTTTAATTATTTATTATTATTATTTATATAATTTATATCAAAATTATATTCAAATTTTTTTAATTTACTATGGTGTGTAATTTCTATTAAATAATGATCTTAAAAAGTTATTCGTTTCTGATTATTTAATTGCAATAATAGATTGTTGAGGAGAGTAAGCAGAGGTGTAATTCAGCATTTCATTGGACTTGGTCTGCATAAAAAATCGCAAGTACATTATAGAATATGACATGGTAATTTCTTTTCAGCACAACGTTTTCAGTGGACCCGGACACTCACATAGACAGTCTAGATCAGGCCGAACAGATAGTCCTTGAGGGTACAAGCAAATGGTCCTGCAAAATAGCAATCACAGGTGAAAAACTCTATTTTTCTTTAAACCCTAAATTTTTTTATAAATATATGATTCAAATAATTATAAAATATAATAAGTTCAATTTATATACATATATCTGAAAATGATTTTTTTATGTTGAAATGTGGATAGATAACATTTTTGTTTATGTATTACTTTTTCAGAATGACATTATTTGAAAAATGTAAAATTATAAATATGATATTCCTACCAATGCTAAAATAAAAATAAAGGATACTGAATAAATATAAATTGACTGTTACATTCTATTTATATCGTATAATATATATAAATACAATAAAACATGAAAAATATTTTATATTAGTCAGTTTTGTAATGTGGCATTGCAATAAGATTATTTGGTTTATGAAACATGAATCATAAATGGATATCAATTATTATAATAATCATTCATTCAGCCATTTCAATTATATGAAAAATATATTTGTAATTATATTTATTTAATATAAAAATTATTCATATATAATACAAAATACGAAAACAATTATTTAAATTATTTATAATAAAAATACTTATGCAAAGTCGCAGAAAGTCGTTCTGACAGTTTTTAAACACATCGTCCCTTCAATATGAAATTCATTAATACACAAATCTACGAAATATATCGACGAGATGTATAGACCAAGAATATAATCATGATAACAAGAGTTATTACTATTACTACTATTACTACTACTACTAATCAAATAGAAGTTATGAATAAGGTTATTAAGACTGAAAGTTATATAAAAAATATTTATATATATATATATACTTATGATTGTAAAGAAATTTTTTCTGAATTCAATCACAAAGTGTGTTAAAGTGTGGTAAAGTGTGTTACGTGGTTATATATACCCAAAAAATATAATAATGTAAATAATTCTAATTGGCTTAATTTTCGCATTCAAATAGAAATATGAGTCTTTGGCTAATCTGAAAATGTGGATAATATTCTTGTCTATTTTCCAGTATTACTTACTGAGTTAAAAAAATAAATATATTAGAATCATCTTTTCTTGAATTTCTCGTTACTATATTACATCATTCTTACTAGCCACATGACGATAAGTTATAATAATTGAATATTATATCTTTTACTTAATTTACTTTAGTATTAGAGATAGAATTAAATTGCAATTACATTTGAATTTATAAAAGACTTTGTAATATTTTTGTTACAATAATAAAGAACAATATTTAAATATATTCCGTTAAACATTACGTTAATACATAAAAAGTATAATCTCATTTTTTATTGAATATAATTTAGAGAAATGTATTAATACTGAATATTAAAATAATTAGATATTACTTATATATATGATAAAATATTTAAAAAAAAATTTGTTTTAGTCAATTTAATGCATTTAAAAAATATATTTTAAAAATAAATAATATATTAATAAATTAATTTTATTACAATCTATAACGATTATCAGTTATTTTCAAAATCTTGAATTACTTTTAGAATTTCGTATAGCTCTTCTAATTGTATCTCGTTATATTTTCTTTTACTAAATTTTTAAGAAAGGTCACTGAAATTTATTTTATATGAATATTGAACTAAATTATACCAAAGCTCGTCTTACAACTCGTGTATAGTAGTTTAATAATTAAAATAATTTGTTAAATTTAATAATCTCTCTAGGGTGTATATACAAAAAGTTTTTCTTATTAACCAATTTGAGAATATTTTTTGTTACTCTTATAATATTACTACATTAGTTTATAACTTTTTATACTTATATTTTTAAACTTTATAGTCAGTTTTTTGTAATTTAAAACCTAGGTTTTGGCAATATGTTTATATCTGCAAAACTTAAAATTCAAATTTATGGGCAAATATTTTCATTAAATGAATTCATTGATTGGCATCTATTTCTTAGATCAAAGTATAATCAATTTTGAGGTTTTTTCCAATATATGTACAGTTATAGCATTGACAAAATTAATTCAGATACTACTAGCTCCGTGTAAAATTCCATAAACCGAACTACCTAAGTATTGGCCTTCTTTAATTGTTATAGTTAATTACTGTAAATCTTGTTTATTAATATTGAAAAACAAGTATACATTCTAAGAATTAAAAGAGAATTAATTATTAAATAATTAGATTAAAATTTGCATTTATTTTAGTCAGTTACTAGATGTATCTTATTAATTAATTAAATAATTGAACAAAATGCGAATCCATAAAATACATTTATATCGTAATACTAGTAAGAATACTTACAGTTATTAAATGATTAATTTTTGTTACCTTTGAAATAATACCATTATGCTTTCATTTTATTGTTATTCAATCAAGGAGATCTAGAGTATAAAATTTTAATCATTAAAACATTACTAAATTATCAACTGCTTACTTATATGTTGCATAATTTTATTAAGCACGAGCATGGAATATTTATGCATGTTTTGGAACTTAAATGTTATATTACATTGTTTACTATGTCTGAACACATACAATTCATTTATAAAAATATCGAAACATGTAAAAAAGAAAAGGTAAGTACATAACGATGTACTATGGGTACTCAAATACGTTACATAATTATAATACATAATCAATACAATTTATTATACGCACTAGTTGTCTGACATCCGACTAATAAAAAACATATAAACAAATAGAATAAATGATTAATTTCATAAAAATTATAAAAATGTAAAATAATTGTAATTTTGAATATATATATAACATTTTCAATTACTAAGAAAAAATCGAATGAAAACGAGTAAAACAAATCAGGATATTGTTTAAACTGAAAAGAAAAAGAATTTGGAGTAAAACATACATATTTATTGCAATAATATAAAAATATATTACAGATAATAATTGTATAAGTAGAATCAATAAAAACAGATTATATTAATATAATCGTACATATTTTAATAATTTCACTCAAATATTGAAACATTTTCAGCGAATAATTGTTATTCAAATAAAATATTACTATATAATAATTTTTTAATGTTATCCAATACAACTTTCGTTCTGAACATAATCAAATTCATTATTATTTCATTAATATTTTCATGTAATATTACAAGAGTTTCAGAAATTATCAAGTTTCAATTTTTATATTTTAAGAATTTATTAAGAATTTAAAGTAATTTTGTTATCTATAACTTAAATACAAAATATTTTATGTAAATCCGTATATAGTAGTATAAAGTCTACATACCTATTTAATTATATAATATATTCATAATAGTAAAATATAAATTTTGTACTTTTAAATATACTCTTAGAGATCTGTATTTACTATATATTGTCCAGATTCAGCTAATGAATTTATTTATTTTCAATAAAATAATAGAAGAATATGACACTTTCATAATGTTAGCACCTGCTACCTTTCCTTAATTAAAATCTTACAATATCTACAAAATAATATTTATTTTTTATTTATTTAACAATTATATTTAATTTAATAATTATCATCATGCTACTAAAAAATACGAGTCTTAATCTTCGAAGACTATTTAAACTCTAGTTTTTAAGCATCACATTTAAAGTATTCTTTATAACCTTCTGAAATATATTTTAATTACAGTTATAATGTATATATAGGATATTTTGTATGTATATATTAAATATATGAATAATAAAATTGTAATTTTATATTTCTGTATACAATTTCGAAATTGTAACCTTTATTAAGTTTGTTAATTACTATTTAAAAAACATAATTTATACTTAATATTTAAGTAAATTGAATAGATTCACATCTTAATATAGACATTCACTGTTATTCTTTAAATTGGCTGATTGAAAATGTTAATAAACTTATTGAAAAAGTAATATTCGACTTAACATTGTACTATTAGATGTGCTGTAATAAACTGCTAATAAACTACTCTATTAGATATGCCACTTTTGCACAGTATACTTAAAATATTGTTGATATTTACAATATTCTTTTTGAAAATATCAAATGAAACTAATCGAACATATTGTAAATGTATACTTACTTTATTAAACTTACTTTATATTTTCTTGTTGTGTTTTTCTTATTTTTTATGATATAACTTGATTCAAATTCTATTTATATAACATTTATTTAATTTATGAACAGATATAAAAAAACATTTATTATTTTATATTTATATAATTTTATAATAAAAAAATTTTTTTATAATTTTTATAATAAAAAAAATTCTTATTAAAAAAAATGTTTCCTCAAATATAACTTAAATACTTTTATGAACTGTTGCTGAAATAATAATAAAATTAGTAATTTGTCTAAAAATGTATAGGAACGTATTTTAGAAGCATTTGATAAACATAGATTAATTTTTTAAATAAAAAAATAAGAAGAAAAATCAATCATTTATTTTCAAAATTTGTTACAGTTATTAACACGCAAGTATATTATAATAATATTTATTACAAATAACAAAACCGAAATGCAGAACTAAAATATATTATGATTATTTAATTTATTTTGAAATATAGAATTAATAGATGAATAAAATTTATTAAACACAATAAAAATTTTTATATTATAATAAGATTTAATATAAATAGTGGAAGATTTTATTTACAAATAAAAATAAAATAAAAAAAAATTATTCAAAAATATCACTGTTTTATAATAATGTAATAAATAAAAAAATTCTATCTTGTGAAATTTACAACTTAAAAATTTGAAAATAACATTAAAAAATTATATTTGTTTAAATATAAATTTCTATCAATCTTAATAAATGTAATAAATAAATTTAATTCTAAAAAAAATTTTTTTAGTATCGAATACCGTAAATGTGAAAGGTTTTCATTTTTTAGTATTACAGTATTCGTTTTATTATATAAAAATTAATATAATATTCGAAAAACGTCAGATATATATAACACATACGCTCGTATAAGCTTCAATGTGATACTTTATTGTCAAATTTTATATTAAATAATAAAATAAAAAATAAGAAGTGTATACATTTTATTTTATTTATTTTATCTCATAAGTTATTTGTAATGATATATTATTATAAGCTATTTATATACGACTTACGTAAAGTGTATAGTAGGTGCGCAGTACTACTCTTATATAAAAAATATAAAAAAAATTTAAACAAATTAATATTAAAAATTTAATATAGTAAACATAATTAATTTTTCAAAAATATTTAAATTTATTATTTTGTTAATGTATCCATTTTTTAATAATAACAGTAAAATTAAATCAAATAATTGTTTAAAATATTCATATATTTAATATCTATTTCATTACCGATTTTATTTGAAAAAAATAACTTTTTTCATTAATATATCGCCTATAATAATATACATAACTTATTTATTTTCAGCATATGGCATCTTACTAAACTAAAATTAAAATTTTTATTTACAGTGATTTGTGCTCAAGGGTTGATTGCCAAAGATAAAAGCGGTACATCTGATCCATACGTACAAAGACAATGCCGCAAGAGTTAAATCCCGTATGGAATGAAAAATTCTATTTGTAAGTTACAATTTCATTCAAAATATTTCAACAAAAAATTTCATAAATATAAATCCTTTTTGTGCTTTAATTTGAAGCCATTTGATTATTTTTTAAAATGATTATGATAAAATACATATTAATTTATACGTATTTAAAAAATAATTAATTATTTTAAAATTAAATAATCTAAATACTTTTGTACAAATATTTGTTTAAATAATTTTATTGAAGGACATATGCAATAATGCAATAAGTAAACTCTATATACTAATTATTAAAATAAGAAGTGAAAAAACAAAAGCAAAAATTTGTTTTAATTAGCAGTTGATTAAAATTATCAATTAAAGGATATATTTTATTTAAATATTTGGTTAATGGAAACTAATCATAATATCAAATTCGTATAATACTACAATGACACGTGAAATTTAGTTAAACTTTACATTATACAAAAAATCTACATTACAGTGAATGTCACAACTCATCGGATCGAATAAAAGTACGTGTTTGGGATGAAGACAATGATTTAAAGTCAAAATTACGTCAGAAATTAACTCGAGAGAGTGATGATTTTCTTGGGCAAACAATCATCGAGGTAAGAACACTAAGTGGTGAAATGGATGTCTGGTATAATTTAGAAAAAAGAACAGATAAATCTGCAGTATCAGGTGCAATTAGACTTCACATAAGTGTTGAAATTAAAGGAGAAGAGAAGGTTGCACCTTATCATGTGCAATATACTTGCTTGCATGAAAATCTTTTTCATAGTCTATGTGAAAACAATGACGGAATGGTAAAACTCCCACAAGCTAAAGGTGATGATGCGTGGAAAATATATTTCGATCCATCTGGTGAGGAACTTGTCGATGAATTTGCAATGCGTTACGGTATTGAGAGTATTTATCAAGCCATGACGTACGTACTAAATATATATAATGTAATAAATTATAGATGAATTCTGATTAAAAAAATATTTAAAAAATTACTTATTTCAGACACTTCCACTGCCTTTCTACTAAATATTTATGTCCAGGAGTTCCTGCAGTAATGTCATCTCTTTTAGCCAACATAAATGCATACTATGCTCATACGACAGCTAGTTCTGCAGTATCAGCTAGTGATAGATTTGCTGCTAGTAATTTTGGAGTAAGATAAATTTCTTTGTTTTAACTAATCTTTAATAATATCATTTAAAAAATTAAAAAAATTTTTTTAGTTAAAAAATACCATTATTTATAATTTATGAATACTGCTCTAATCTATTTTTTAAATTTAGTATTTTCCTTTCTTGTATAAAGTAAAACTAATTAACATTTATAAATATTTATTATTTAACAAATTTGTTTCCATCTAAAATTGTTTTAAAATTTAATTTGATTAATTCAAAAATTATACAAGGAAATATAGATATTCAAATATAGATACTTATAATAATAAAAGTACATACAATATTCAAACTTAAAATTAAACTCAAAATTAAAATTAACTAAATTAATTGACATAAAAGCATTATATACATTATATACATTATATACATTATATACATAACATTATATACATTATATATATTATATACATAATACATTATATTAATAAGATACATGTAATAACTTGAACATGTTATAGAAAGAGAAGTTTGTAAAACTTCTAGACCAGTTGCATAATTCGCTTCGCATTGATCTATGCATGTATCGTAACAACTTTCCCGCATCGAGTCAAGAAAAATTAATGGATTTAAAGTCAACAGTTGATTTACTTACAAGTATCACGTTTTTTCGGATGAAAGTGCAAGAGTTAACATCTCCACCACGAGCTAGCAATGTTGTAAAGGACTGTGTTATTGCATGTCTTAAATCTACTTATCAATTTTTATTTCAAAATTGCTATGATCTCTACAGTCGTGAGTTTCAGGTCGATCCGAATGAAACTCGCAAGGAAGAAGAAAATTCACCTGCTTCCCTTGATTTTTGGCATAAACTTATAGCTCTTATCGTTTCTGTCATTGAAGAGGATCGTAACAGTTATGCGCCTGTATTAAATCAATTTCCACAGGAGCTAAATATTGGCCAATTATCAGCTGCAACTGTTTGGTCACTCTTTGCAATTGATGTCAAGGATGCTCTTGATGAACACGAACAAAGCAGATCATGTAAATCCTCTGCCTATATGAATCTACATTTTAAGGTAAAATGGTTATATACTAATTATGTACAAGAGGTACCTCCATATAAGGGACAAGTACCCGAGTATCCCGCTTGGTTCGAACCGTTTGTTATGCAATGGCTTAATGAAAATGATGATGTATCATTGGAATATTTACATGGTGCCTTTAATAGAGATAAAAAAGATGGTGTAAGTATATTAATATTTTAATTTTAATATTTTTAATAAAATTTATAATAATTCTAACATTTTAGTTTCAACGAAGTAGTGAACATGCTCTATTTAGTGTATCCGTCGTTGACGTATTCACTCAGTTAACTCAATGTTTTGATGTGGTATCAAAACTTGAATGTCCGGATCCGGAAATCTGGAAAAGATATATGAAACGATTTGCCAAAACAATTGTTAAGGTTCTGGTAGCATATGCCGATATAGTGAAAAAAGAATTTCCTAGTCATTTAGAAGATGAACGGATAGTGTGTATTTTATGTCTTTTAAAAAACTGAAGATAGTATTAATAATTCATTAAAAAATTTAGTAATCTTATTGTTTCATTTTAGGCATGTATTTTAATGAATAATATTCAACAACTACGGGTGCAATTAGAGAAGATGTTTGAGTCAATGGGTGGAGAAAACCTTGAACAAGATGCTGCAAATATATTAAAAGAACTCCAGGCTCAGCTAAATAGTGCCTTGGATGATTTAGCGATGCAATTCGCTAAAAGCCTGGAACTTCGAATAACAATATCTGTAAAAGAACTTGGTGATCTTTTATTAGCTATTAAAGGAGGTGGACAAATTAATCAGCCTGCGCAAAGAAGTAATGTATCTGTCGAAGCGGATGAAGTACTTCGACCACTAATGGACTTACTTGATGGTAGTCTTTCTTTGTATGCTCAATCGTGCGAAAAGACTGTTTTAAAGCGATTGCTAAAAGAACTCTGGAAAATAGTTATGAGAATTCTTGAAAAAACAGTTGTATTGCCACCTATGACTGATAAGACTGTAAGAAATAAATATATAATATAAATACGTTATAAATATTTATTTATCAACAAAATTTATTAACTTACAGATGATGTTTAAGAGCTTAACAGATAATGCAAAAAATCTCGCAGCAAATGCTAAAATAGAAGATATGTCGAGATTATTTAAAAATCATATGGCTGGGAAACCGGATGTGAAAAATGCACTCAGTGGTGTAATGGTACTTTGAAAAAGATTTAAATATATTGAATATAATTATCTATTCTTATTTAGAATTATATAAATGATAATTATTTTTATTATTATTGTTTATGAATTTTTATTATGTAGGATATTTCTAAGGAAGTTGAAAAAAATTTATCGCCTAAACAATGCGCTATTTTAGATGTTGCATTAGATACTATTAAAACCTACTTTCATGCTGGTGGAAGTGGTTTAAAAAAGAATTTTTTGGAAAAATCACCAGAATTACAAAGTCTACGATACGCTTTGAGCTTGTATACACAAACAACAGATACACTCGTTCAGACCTTTGTTACATCTCAATTAACTCAAGGTATTTTTATTTTCATATTTAAAATATTTATATTAAAAATATAATAATTTTTAATGTTATGTCACTTAGTAAAATTAATTAAGTTCATATATTTAAAAATGAGTGTTGCACGTATTATTTTTTTATGTATATGTAATAAATATATTTAAATTTAATATTTTTAAGAGCTAAGTATTTCGTAAAATTTATTTACAATTATCAATAATTTAAAAAAATGTGTAATAATGAATATTTATATTAAACTAGTATAAAAATTAATACAATACAAAGATTAAAAATATAACAATATTAAAATGTAATGTTAAATTGATGGACAGTGCCGCTTAATGATTCTGCTACTTTGCAACAAACACATCAACGCTCTATGAACAACGAAAGAAACGATGAAGTAGAAGGAACAGAATGCATAGAAAATCTTGAGGAACCTCTTCGACAAAATAAATCTCCTTACCATCGGAAAAGTCGACAAGGTACCTTAAAGTCAATAAAAAAATTTTTTAAATTCATAAGATTAAAATAATAATACGCACCTCAATACGCAGTCATAACATAATCATAAGTTCGTAATAACACTCATAAGTATTAATTTTTATTTGACACATAATTTATAAAATATATATATATAATTATCTTAACTAAATAAAACATTACAAAGGATAATAAAATTATTTTTAATATAAATGATTTGACAAAATAATACCATATTTTTAATTAAATAAAACACTATTGATTACAACTATACTTTAATATAGATTATTACTGTACTTTAAAAATTACATTTTTATTTTAATTTCAACATTTTAAAATCTTTTATTTAATAAAAAAAATTTAATAATAGATGTATAATCATTATAAAACTTTATTTTTTAGATGTTATAAATACAGAAGAAGATGCTGTTGGAGAAATAAATATGCAAGTTGATCTTTTCACAAATCCAGGAACCGGTGAACAAAAAATTAGTGTAAAAGGTATTCCATCAAAAATTTAATTTATATAATACAATTTATTTAATTTATATAATACAAATGTTTATATATACTGCGTGTTATTTATTTCATGAATTTATTTTAATAGTTATATCTGCCAATAATCTAAAATGGCAGTTGACTAGTGGAATGTTCAAACCATTTATTGAAGTAAATCTTATAGGACCATACCTTGCAGACAAGAAGAGAAAACATACAACTAAATCGAAAAACAATACCTTATCGCCCAAGTTTAATGAAACATTTCACTTGTAAGTTGAAAATATGAAAGTGTATTGAATTTATTATTTATTTATTCAAATAATTATAATAATTTGAATGAAACATTTACATATTTTATGTAATAAATTATATTGTAATTATATTTTTAAATCATATTCATATATTACTTTTATTAAAAAATATCCATTTTATTAAAATATTTCCAAAAATCTTTAATATAATAAATTATTTGCTTTGTCTTCTTTTTATTATTTAGAAGAAATTTTTGAAATTTACAGTATTTATTAATAGCAATACCAATAGTGTATTTTCACTTGATGGTCTAAGACCATTCTTTGGTTCTCTACCTATAGCAAATGTAAATATTCAACCAACAACAAGTCTAAAAATGATACTTTTTTCTTAAATATTTATTCGTATCACAGATTGTTGATTTACGACTCAAACGAAAGCATTTGTTTAAATTCATAAAATATGTTTTAATCTCTTAAATATTTATAAATTAACATATAATATCGATTAACTCTGTACTAAAATTCTCAATTTTCAAATTTATGGTGATCACAAAATGAATATTTATAATATGCCTACAGCTTTACATTTCTATAAAATTATATACTATCTCAAATACAACCTTTGTTAATCGTGCACCGATTGCTATAGCAAGTTGATGTGCTACTAGATTAAAAATATATAACATAAATGTAAATATTTGTATTTATTTATAGAACTTAATTATTGAAACTAAATCTGGAATTATTAAAAATCCGCACACTATTAATTAAATTTAATATTTTTTAATGTTCATTATAATATAATGAGCTATAAACATGAACCCCCGTGTATTGAAATATTAAAAATAAAGTTGGTTGCGTTTCTCTTCTACAATTTATAATCCTTGTATATTCAAAAATAAAAAAATGTATTTGTACGTTATCCCAGTTAGTTTATAAATTAATTCATAGCATATCAGAATGAGTTTCTTCTAATATTTTCGTTGAATATTTTATTGAATTTTTTCAGAAATATTTTAATTTATAACTGATTAATTCTCATACTCTCTAGATTCGTTATTATGAGCGATTGATACATTGAAATCGTCCTCTTACATCTAATATATTCTGCACCAGATTAATATATAGATTTTATTTAATTGATTTGAGTAAAATATTATTATTCCTTATTATAAAATATCAATACATAAACTTCTGATTATTATTTTACGAGTTTTCAATTATTTCATGCAGATAATTGATAAATTATCGAAATTATTATAATAGTATAATTAGTAAATTTATTAGGTAATTTTTACAAAATAAATAAATCATACGAGGTTACCAATTATTTGGCGCATTAAAGTTCTTATAGATGTATTACGTCACAGATATAATAAAATCAAATACTTAAGAAAATTATATTAGGGACAAGCCATAAATTTGGATTAATAACTGAAAAGGTTGAATGCGTTACTAAATATGTTCTTGTTTGTTTTTTCGCTTGCAAAAATTGAGGATCGAACCGAACGAAGAAAATGTTTAATATTATTTATTAAATTCGTTAAAATGTTATTCTACTTTTTATTTTTTAAACTAAAATTTAAATGTAGTTATTAATTTAACACTATTATAAACTTTTTCAAAATATAAAAAATTTGATACAGATATATTTAATTATGGATAGCAGTAATCTATCTATAAAGTTTGATGACAATTAACGATTAAGATATGATGTCACATGGGAAATTAAATACATAATTTTTAATTCATATTAAATAAAAAGTGTTTGATTGTGCAGTTTTCCAAGCATTATAAAGTTGAACTTTTATTTAATTTACATGATTTGACAATGTAAAAAATATACGTGACAGAAAATTACTTTTTACAATAACTTTCGATATTTAAGATATGAATAATTATAAGATTATGTATAGTTGTATTTAATGAACCAGCTTTGATTTAAATATCTAAATCTCATTGATAGGATTTTTTCTATTATTAGAATTAATATTTCTTGTATATATATTTATATGAACATTTATTATTCTAATTTTTTGTACTTATAATTAGTGACGAAAAAAAATAAAAAATATGATTATATTTGTTTATATTATACTAATTTATATAATTATATAATCTTATTAAATATTGAATAAAAATCTTATTAAATAAGCTTGCAAGTAAATTCGCGTTTCCATTCGCTATTTATGTTTTACCTTAGATTAAAAATTGAACATCTATATATCTATATACATAACCAGTATATTCTTTTACTAACCTTACATCATCATGTTAAGAAATATAAAATCTAAATCTAATAACTGCAACTACATGAGAAAAATTAATAATTCTTTAATTTTGTACTTTTAATAAAAATTAAAAGAAAAATTTAAAAAAAAAATCGAACTTTTATGCCTTATTGTAGGGAAGTGTTAATCAATAAAATCAGTATTATCATTAATATTGTTAAACAATAATTAAAAATCTATATATTTTTACAATTATTTAGATATGAAGATTTAGAAGAGTTTAAACATTTTATTCCTTTTATAAATAGGTTAATTTTTAATTCATTGATAAAAACCAAAGCAAACGTTTAGCTAAGGAGATATATAAATGAAAACAATCAATTTAAAATTAAAAAAAAAGTTGTATATTAAATAATTTATATATTTAAATAAATTCATGGACTATAATAAAACCGTAAATAAGAAAAGCAAATATTTTATTAATTTATATATAAATATCGTATCAGAATTTTTATGACCCCTGTTTGAATATGCTTACTAAGTGCCGTTGCAAATGTACAATATGCTATAATATTATATTGAAGAGTAATAAGACTGCTATAAATTCTAATTTTCTGGCGATTAACTTTTTAATTAATAAAGTGCAAATTAGATTTTAAAAAGAATTTTAATTCTTTGATAAAGTGGTCAGGTCATTTATCGAATGAAATTAATTGATAAACTGATATTTATTAATCTTTGTTTAGTCGAGTGTCATTTTATAAGTTCAAATTCGTACATCTGACAAAATATAATCAAACGGTAAATTTATGAAGTTCAACTATATTGGATACTTTTTATAATAGAATTTTTCATTTCCAATATTGTAATGTTTATTTATTATATTAAAATGTTAATAATTATAGGAACTCTTGTCAAAATTAAGTATACATAATCACGTATGTACATATAATTAATTACTATACTATTTTTCTATTTGTTACCGAAATACTTCATTTTTTTGCAAATGTATTATATACTGTAACGAGAATCGAATATAAAAATTTATATCCTTATTGATAAATTTATTAATTTAGTTTGAAATTTATTTGTTTTAAAAAGTATTATATAATTTAATTAGTGTTGGGTATCAAAATTTACGCTATTATTAATTTATACGAGTTTATACTGATGTTTGAAGAAATATTCAATAACTAAATAATAAAATTCTAAAGTTCATATATAAATATAGAGATGGAAATTACGCTCGAAGGTTTAAAATCAGGTAAACTATAAGGTACTGCAAAGCGCAAATAAGTCATTGATAAATTTACTAATATAATACTTCTATATGATTAGCCTGGTATACGATATATAATAATATATACTATAATGTAAAATAATATTAAATATATTAAAAAATCTCAATAAAATAATTTAAAAATCAATTATTTGTGCATAAATAATTATTTTTCGATATATTCTCTTATTAATATATATTTTTACTAAATATGCACTTATTGTATGTAAAAATATAAAGTAATTTTTAATAGTAGTTATAATACACATATTTTTTCTGTCTAGCATAATTGGAAATGATCAACAATTGAACTTCTATGAATTGCACATTTGTGTGAAAGACTACTGTTTTGCTCGGGAAGATCGTCTAGTTGGATTAGCAGTGATTCAATTAAAGGACATTATAGAACAAGGTTCGTGTGTGTGTGCAATTTCATTGGGTAAACGTATTCAAATGGACGAAACAGGTTGGACAATATTGCGGATTTTATCCCAACGCAATAACGACGAGGTTGCCAAAGAATTTGTAAAATTAAAGAGCGATATAAGACAAGAAACTTTACTTGCAAATCCAACTTGAAATTAATAACCAGAAGTTTTATTGATAAATATAATAAATTACAAAGAAATAAAAAAAACTTTGTAAACTACTGTGAATAGTCACAATAAGAGTTATAACTTTTTATCACTATTAATAATTAATAATATCATTAAAAGGGTTTATTCACAGTAAGTTTTTGAATCAAACTTTAAAATAACTAACACAGGTATGCTGGACAAAAATGAATGAAATATGAAAAACCAGCAAATGAAAAGGTATCGAATGGAAAAAAATGGAAAAAATAAAAAAAGAAAGGGAAACAATGTTGTAGTATAATTGGACAGTTTAACATGAGAAGGTATTTGAAATATTATTAACAACAAAAATTGTTTTTTCATATAAAACAATTTAACAACTAATAACTTGTATGACCAATTGACGTGTGACCTTAACCCAAATTGCATCATTATTTAAGTTTCTAAGTACATGTACAATTATACATTCAACTACTCATATAAACATAAGAACTTACACTGAAACTTAATAATAAAGTTTACTCAACACTAATAAAACTTATTTTAATGTTTAAGTCGTGTATATTATACAAAATCAAGTAAATAATAGCTCAACTAGCTACTAACGAAAAATTATCGACTGAATAAAATAAAAATTAATTGTATCAGAATACTGTTGTAATAAAATTACGTTAATATATTTTCTTATATTGTAGCACATAGTTAATACATATCTTATTATATATTGGTCCATTAGTCCATTATTATTAATACAAACAATAATAACCTTATCTAAATTTAGTAAATATTTTAAACAATTAATTTATTTATTTATAAACTAACTTTAACTTCATATTAGATAGATTATAAATGTTATTCATAAATTATAAATCAAAAGTGTAATTAACTCATTTCTTACAAATTTTCTTTGTTAAGATATATATATATATATATATATTATGTCCTGAATTTTAACTGTGGTATACAAATATACGAAAAATAAAACTTACACATAAAAATAAGTAATAAAAAAATTGATATATATATATTTGTAATAACTGTATACTTTCTTTGTTAGTAAACTTTATTTAAAAATTTTCAGTGTTTTTAACTGAACCAATAAATAATACACTTATCTTAGATCTGTTTTGACTCCATTGCATATCAAAACATAAAAAGTCGAAAAGATAAAAAATCTATCAAATAAGATTCTATTGAATAAGAAAGATTATTTTAATATTAGTTATTAATTTATTATTAGTTATTATTTTAATATTACTCAGAAAAATTAAATTCATGTTTCAAATACCTGCAAAATTTTTAACAAAATGCTAGTATATTATTGTTTATTTATTTTATGATTGTAATGTACATAATTTGTTAATTAATTAGAATTAATATTTTAATTACAATCCGTATAATCATATATGTATCAATAAAATAATTGTACGCTTAATTATATACATAAGTTATATTTTATTAAATTTTCATAGTAATTATTTATATAAAAACTAAACAAATTAACAAATTTAATTATGTTCAATAAATTATTTATATAGATTTTTTATAATGTATTGTAAGTAAATTATTTTAGTTAATCTTATCTGGAATAACAAAATCAATCTATTGTTACAGAATCGTGTTTTATACCTTTCTTAATATTAAGTTAATAATTATAGATACCGTTAACAAGGCGTAACAAAAAATATACATTCTGTATTTTATAAAAGTCTTTTAGTATGAAATAAAAATACAACTGCGCGATCATATTCCCTACTATGACCATTTGATTCTGCTCTTTTCTTGTATAGAAATGGATTATTATTTTACCCAAAACAATCAATATTTAATTATATATAAATAAATTTAATATGCTGAATTTCTTATTCATAAACATTCATTAAAAATACTCTAATTAGATGTAATCAGTTTTAATGTATTAAATGTATATATTTCTTAAAATGAAAAAAACACAACTAACTTCTAATAATACTGTTTTATTATTTCTCCAGTTATAATTAAAATTATGTTTTATTTATTTATATTAGTAGTCATAAAATTGTTTTCAGATTGTTTGTATTCTATAAATTCGTTAAAATTAAAACATCAAATAATATACGGTATACTAAATACTAAACTTTTAAAATATTAATATACTATAAAAGAAATATGTCTCAATATTCATGATTTTTTAAATAACTTTTATATTTTATTTACTAAAAGGTAAAATGAATATACACCTAACTAATTAGAATCAAATATTAAAGGTAAAAAATGAAGTTAATAATATGTTATATAATGTATATATTAACTTTCATAAGAAACAATATGTAATTTTTTAAATAGTTTAATATATAATATATTTAAATTTCTTAATAATTTAAATTACTGAGATTAGTAATGAATTGGCATTAATAATTCCTTGATATTTAATTATATTATATTCGAGAATTATATAACTGATATAAATGGTTAAATCTACCTCTGTTCACTATCATAAACTTAATATAAATTTATTATTTACATACGTGTAAATTGCGATTAATTTTTGTCATCATGTTCATATATTTAATTATTATATATGACAAATTGTTTAATGCGAGGTTAACAGCACAAAGTATATACAAAAAAAAAAAAATTAATATAAGTAGTTACAAATGTAACTAGTCGTAATAAACTAGACCATAAACAGTTTCCTCTTCAAACCACATAAATAACCAGTTTTATAATTTCTTTGCATCAATTATCCATCGCCCTAAGAAACAATTTTTACTTCGTTTATTCTTGATCGAATCACAAATTTGGATGTTTGATTCCTATAAATTATAGCTGTTATTGTATCAATTGCTATAGCACTTATTTTATTCACTACACTTGAAAAGTACCCCTGTCCTAATCTTTTTAAATCCTCCATTTATTAATTTTCTTTTCTTAGTAAATATTTGCTTTAAGTACATTATTTCATCCAATTTAATCTGTTGTGTTGAATCTAAAATTTTAAAATAATTATGGTTCTATATTAAAAAATTTTTTTTGTCTTTTTTCACATCAATAGTCTTATTAACTTCAAAATGAAAAATATTATGGCACATCTTATAGCAATTAAGTACAAATAAATAGAGTGTAATAAAAAGATATTTATGCACAGATAAGGCATTAACCTAATATATATTTAGTAATAATTATTAGAATGTTTAAAGGATGACATATATCTAGAAATTTATTATTGATGAATTAATGAATACAATTAAATGATCAACTAATAGTCATAACAAATATATATCTCAGCATTCAAACTAATTACTATAAATATAATAGAACTTTATTGCTCACAAAAATTAAAATAAGTCTATTTTAGCAATATGATATTCTTGGTTACACCCTATTAATGTTGTTTTTAAATATTTCAATCTAAACATTTTTCTAAACTCATTTTTCAATTCCTGTTTAAAATTTGTTATTTTTTAATTTATCTTGGATATTTTAAGTCTATTTATTAAATTAGACTTTAGTATGTTCGTAATTATTTTTTAAATTTCATATGAATCAGGATAACAATCTCTAAATTTTCACAATTTCAGTTCTTTGAGAGAAATACATAATTTCCTAATTTAAAAATGTTGTATTAGTTTTTTATATAAATATTTTTTATTTGTATTTGTTTAACTAAATTGTCTTACATTAATATTTTTAATCTAATAAGATATATAAATATTTTCTTTAATTTTCACATTAACTTTATAGTATAAATTGTAGTACAAATAATTTAAATGATTAGTATTATATGATATTCAATATGACTTATACTTGTTTTGTTCATACAAGTGAATATTAAATGAAATTATTGGAATTATTAGAAAATTGTCAGTTACAAAAGAATGTAAAAAATGAATTAAAAAATTAATAAAATTTTCTGTATTTTCCACTATTTTGTTTTCAATATATAATGTATTAGTTTTATTAATAATACAATCATTAAGCAACTGTGACTTATAAATATGAATTAAATTTATAGATTTTGAACAAATTATTTAATGTAACAGTCATATTCAAACAGTACAAGTGGTGTTATAAAATAAGTAATTGAAATATAAAATTTTGAATATGTATTAGGTTAAATTAGTTATAATATGAAGAGATTGTTATCAAGAAGAAATATGAAGATACAAGCGGGAAAGTGGGGAAGAATATAGATTTGTAACAAAAATATTAAATGAGAAAGAAAATTAATGAAACGAATGAACAAAAGTAATTAGAAAAAGAAAAATATAACCACAAACATATATTTTCGAAATGTATAAACAATTACGAATCTATATGTAACAATGAAAAACACGTAAATAAAATATGTACACTTTATACAAATTAAAGATGAATAAGTAAACATTTTTATAGCTAACCTAAAATTAAAATAGTTGGATTTATCACTTAATTATTTTCTTTCCTTTCTAAATCCTTCCTACTAATTATAGTTTGGTACTGATATTTTGATATTATACATCCTCATTTTTATGATGAAGTAAAAAATAACTCTAAAAACGAAGTACATCATTTAAGGTGAACGAATTCTTAGAAGCTGTTATCAAAATTGAAAATACATGATTTTAATTTCCTTTGTAATAGTACATACAGGTGAGGTAATTTTAGTATACAGTTCTATAGCAAGAAATCCATTAGATGATAAATCAAATTCTATATTTTTATATATCCACTTTTGTAAAATAAAGTTAATTTTAATTATAAAGTATAATTATAACCTATAATTTTATTTCAAAATATATTTATAAGACTTATATTCTTTTATAACTTGTAGTTCGTTTTATGTAAAATAATGGTATTATAGCTATAGTATTCAACTCATATCAAGAAAATTTTATTTACAATATATTTATTAAAAAGAAAAATAATAATTTAAAAAATTATACAGTAAAATTCAAATAGATTTAATATATATTAAGGAATTAAAGCATTAAAAGTTAAAAATACAAGTTCAACTTATATTTTGTTACTAATAATTCATTGTTTTACTCCCTGATTACTGGTTAATATTAAGTACAGTATATATTCAATGTGCATTTGTATTGGAAGCTATATTAAAATTTATTTTAGTATTAATGGTTTGTTACTTTAACCAATAATCATATTATGAAGGTAAATTCATTAGGTCTGATTTGCTGTATTTATAATAAAAAATTTAATTATAAAATTTTTATTTATTGAATGAATTATTCACATATCAAAAATTTAAATACAGAAGTGCTTTATAAATATTTAATTTTAAACATAATTGCATAATGTTGCAGACATCACTTTGTATTTGATGATTGTTATAAATTGTTATTAAGTTGTTATTGTAAGGCCAGTGTATTCATTTTAAAAGGAAAATTGATGAATATATGATTACAGCACATTTGAATGAGTAATTTTTTTAAAGAAAACAACAAAAAATGCATACTTATGATTAAGTTAATATTACATGCATTAAACATAATTAATTAATCGTTAAAGTTTATTTTTAACGGATTTATAGAAATTTCTATAAAAATTTCTAATTTTGTATAGTAAACATTATTATTTTTAATCTATTATAACAATTTTTTATTTTTTAAAATTTATTTTTAACTTTTTCTTATTTTTACACAAAAATATCAAGCATAACATGAATAAGAATTATTTTATTGTACGCTAATTAAATCAGTTATAATTTACATTGGTTGGTCAGCTAATATGGGACATTTTAGATGGACATATAAATGGTTTTGATGGAATTCGAGTAAAAACACACCGTGTTTGTCTAACATCACGATGAAAAGTATTATCGTTCACTTCTGAAGTACTAATTATTTGACTATTGTTATTGAACATAGATAAACTCAGGTGTGTCTGTGCATCATACTCTGATACAAGCTTTTTTATGTGGCCTAATTTATCATGTAGGTAATAAAATCGAGCATTCACATTCTTAGTTCTAGCATACTCTTGAAGAATTTGATGCTTTATTGCCTAAAATAATGAATGAATAATTTAATTAATTACCTCTAAAAATTAATTATTAAAATTCACCTCATAGCCTTCCGTATTTCCATTATCCAATTTTTCCTTTAGCTCTTCTTCCAATTGACTAAATTGCTTTGATATTTTAACTACCTGCAAGTGTAATTTTCTATATTCTTTATAGTAAGCATTAAATTCAGCTTTATAGCGTGTTCTCTGCTCAGAACTACTTATTGTTGTATAACATCTATGTAAGTAAAATAAGTTGACATGATTCTATAAATATTAAGTAATAGTAATATTAATATTAAAAAATAAAAGTACTCACGTCAGGTAATCAGAAAACTCGGAATTACGAAAGTTTTCTGAAGAAGCTGGTGAAATTCGAGTGCAAGTAGGAGCTGAGAAAGATAAAAAGGAGTCCCTAGTAGTACTATCATTAGGATTATTAGATATTTTAATGTTAGAGGATTTATCTAAATAGGTTGATTCGGTCAAATTATACCGCGTCTGGCTACTTTCCCTAAAACTTTTGTTATCTTTATCACTCCTAACAGCAACTTGTACAGAACTGAATTCATCAGTAGCTTCTACTGATATGACACTCAAATTGTCTTCCTCGTCGTTACTATTTATTGTTTTTCTGATATTAATATTATGCTGCTGTTGTTGCTGTTGTTGCTGCTGCCGTTCTTGGTTTTGATGCTGATAATAATAATGATTACTATTGTGATCTAAAGTACTATGGATATTATAACTAATTCTATTATTTAATAACGAATCGCTTACAATATTTGATTTGCTTAAGACTTCCAGTTCATTGGAATTGACTTCCTCACTATCACTAGTAGGAATTAATTCGGATTTTGTTATTGTATAATTGTTTCTTTGTTGTTGTTGATGGTGAAAATTATGTAACTGATGGCGTAATTGTTTCTTATGATCCCAATTATTAGATATATTAGTAAGACCATTTGGTTTTAAATTATCGCTTAAACTGTTAGAATAAGTTGATTCAGGTTTGCGATAATGGGATATTCGTTGTCTTTTTGTTGGCAAACCATCATTACCTTGGTAGTAACCCGGCCTTTTTGAACCTAGCAATCCTAGCGGTGGAGCCGCAATGGATGGAGGAGAGCCTGGATGAGTGGAGTTAGGCGATTGTCCACTACCTAAAATAAGACATATTACGATAATAACAGATATTTCATCAATACTTAATTACTATTACCACTTGATCCTCCATCACTTGAACCAGGTGGTGTTAAGTTTTGAGGCTTTCGCCTTTTTAACATTGCCTTTTCTTGTTCCGTATAGTAGGGCCAGTCTTCCTGTACATCATTCCATACACATCTATGTAAATGGTACGTATTGTCTCGCATAAAAGCGATTTGTTTTAATACCGTTGCGATTATATTTTTTTCTTTTTCGCGAATACCTTCTAAAAATTTATAATTGTATTTTATTGAAATATAAACTACACAAAGTACTAGAAATTAAAATATATTACCTCTATTAATGCGATCATAAAGTTCGGGTCTTTTAAAAGGCCTTAATGCAAGAAGATGAATAAGCCGTTCCCTATAAAATAAAAAACTTTATGAATATATATATATATATATATATATATATATATATAAATATATATATATATGTTAAAAAGAAAACTTCTAATAAGATATTAACAAATTACTTGAGTGGTCTTCGCATTATTTCGCTGTACTTCTTTTGAACATCAGACTGTAATCGCATAGGAGCTAAATTGGTTAAAAAGAAAACTTCTAATAAGATATTAACAAATTACTTGAGTGGTCTTCGCATTATTTCGCTGTACTTCTTTTGAACATCAGACTGTAATCGCATAGGAGCTAAATTGGTAAATGTTGATTTAAAAGATGTTAATTTAGAAGATGTATTAATAGAAGCTGGAATGGTCGAGGACTCGGTAATTCTTGAGGATGTACTTAAATTTGAATAACTTGGAGGTGGAATTGTTCTCAAGGTTCCTTTCACTTTTACTTTTCGACCAATTGGTTCACTAGCTTTTATAACGCGTGTGCTACGCTTTCCATAAACAAAAATACTAGTATTAAAATAATATTGCTGTGAAGTTTGCAATGCCAAATATATCATATCCTTACCATTTATTCTTATTATTTTCTTCAGCTACATGCATACGATACCTTGTAGTTTCATAAACATCATCGTTTGCCTGGATTCTCATTTTGCAAGGTAACGTGCCAAGACTTTCTAAGTTCCTATTAAAAAGAAAACGCAAAGCCGGTTAAATTTTATTCCAAAGCATCTTTTAATTCTAGAATATCGGCACTAATATAATAATCTTAAAATTTTCTTTGTAAAAATGTATATAAAACTTTAATTATATAATTCAATATAAAAAAATTAAGTATTTTGATTTATGTATATAATATAAACAGTAATTTTTTACAATAAACTTTAATATGAATTTAATTTTTTTTTGAGATTATGTAGCAATTAATATAAATTTAATTTATATTAATGCTTTTTCTAGATACGTTTAAAATATCATATAAATAACTATATTTATTTCTATAATAAAATATTTATTTTTTATATACAGGATTACTAACAATAGCATAAAATCATAATCAATCACATAATTTTAACCTGAAAAATAACATTTCTACAACTAATCATTTGTTTCTTTTTATTTGTATTATTATTCACATTTTTAATTAAAATTAATAGTAATTACAAATTTATCTTTTATCATATGTTAAGTAGATATGTAATATATATACATTATTACACTAAAGACAGTCTTAAAGTCTTGCCAATTATGATTCAATTACTTATTTATTTCATGTATGGATTAAGCATAAATAAATTACAATTGATTATTATAAAATAATTATGTACAATTGTATATATATATTTTTTAGCGATTTTACAACACATTAAAAATTGTTTTAATATATTATTATGAATACATTATATTTTTAATTCTGTGGTTTTTAATACTAATTAAACAAATTAATAACTGAGACGAATTGTTTTGTTTAACAAAATTTATTTATTAATTGCTCGTATAATTCAGTACTTTTACAGTAATAAATTTAATGAATAGTCCTATTCTATTGTGGAAAATGCTAAGTTTCTCAGTAAATACAATGATTTTAATCATGTTTTAAAATGATTTAAAAATTAAAAACGATAATATAAATGATCTTCAAATCTCAAAAACCAAGGCCTAGTATTCAATCAATTATTGTTTTTTTCAAACTAGTTTTGAAATCGAATTTCTAGTATTGATTTTTATTTGATTTTTGACAACATTAAGTTGTATTATAATTTGTAATTATAGATTTTATCAATTATAACATAGTTCCACAAAAATTAATTTAATTGTACTAGTAAATTCTTAAACATTACTCTAAACTATAATTCATTTTTGAGTGACTACAATTTTGCCAATTCCTACATTTTTTAATAATAAAATAGTAGACAGAATAAAAATTAACAATCGTTTTTTCATTTAACAAATTTGCAATTAAAAAAATTATTGTCAAGGTTCTTAAAAAACTGAAAATCCGTAATCTGTAAAAAATCAAAATAAGTTCTGTGTCAATAATAGTAATAAACTATACTTTTATTTAAATATAGATTCTAAACCGAATTTGAAAATAAATCTATACAATATTATATGTAATAATGTTACTATACGTATGTTATTTTTATCGTCATTCAAATTCTTTTATGTATAATTAGCGAAAGAATTAAAAATTTAATAGTACAGATCAACATCAAGTTAACCAATATAAATTAAATATTTCTAAAAAATTTTATTGAAAAAATGCACCTCATATAATTTGAATAATTTTTAATCACTTTTATAAAGTGTTTAACGTATGTTAATGAGATTATTCAATTATTATATATTTTTTCATCTATTATACATTAATTCATTTCAATGAAATTTTAATTATATACTTTCAAATTTTCTTGGATTTTCAACAGTTACAAACATTTATAATAATTAAAATGGATCTTGATGCATAAATTATCTTGCATTACCAAAAAATGTAATTGCAATGATATACATATGAAATATATGTATGAATGTATATACCAAACTACCTGACCATTAAAATAATTGAATTTTCTACTTTAATTTTTCATTTTATATAATCTGTAAATAACAAAATTAGATTATTAATTTAGTATTATCTGTAGTATCTGTAACATTTTAAAATTATTTATCCTCAAGTAATTTTTTGACAGTAAAATTTTAAATCCAATTGTATTTCAGAATTACAAAAAGGAATGAAAATTCAAATTAAATAACTTCGTATACGAAAATGTAAAGAAATACCAAAACTTTTTTATTATGGGTACTTGCACACCCACAAACAAGAGAATAAGAAATAAAATATAGATTATGACATGAACTAAGGGAAAAAATTTAATTAGTGTATCAATTAAATAGACAAATATTTAATTAATTTATTTAGATAGAAAAAATGTTGCATAAGGCACATCAAAAAAAATTTTGAACAAAATTTTGAAACTGTTTAAAACTCTATAACTTATAACTAAATTATTAAGATATAAAGAAATATATATATTAAAGAGTATGTAAGATTTTCAATTTTCCTATATCTTAAGTATTATATTATTATTTTAAACATCTTACATTTAAGTATATCATGTGAGAATGGATGCTTATATTCAGCAGTGTATATCACACTTATTATCTTTACAATGAAAATAATTATTTACTTATGCACTGTATACATTATATCTTTAGATATTTCTCAGGGTACTTGTATTAGGTAAATTTTTTTAATTCTGAGAAATATAAGAAAAGAATGTAAATAGATAAAAGAATCAATTGATAAACAATTTATAAAAATGATACATAAGTATATTTTTAATGAATACTTTGATTTAAATACAGTGAGATTGTAAGTGAAAAATATATAAATCACCTCTAAGAGGGGAACACTGTGTCACTTTCTGTGATGCAATTGTAAAGAAATTCTATGTACTATGCACCTCGGATCAGCTGCATTTAAAAATAATGATAAAATGTTTTAGTTCATAGATACCATTAACAATAAACTTAAGTCTCTGATATTCATAATTGAAGGCAAACATAAATGAAAATTCACATCTCCATCTAATTGAAAGAATAGATAAGTTTGCATAAAATATTTGTGTTAAAGTTAGTTTTAGTTATATTAATACAAAAATTACTCCCTCTTAGTTGTTTGACTTTTACATATTTAAAATTGTATATCCTGATATATCAATATATATATATATTACATTTTAAAATTTTCAAATAGTACAATATGATGAAGATGTATATAGCATATTCATATTCCTACTATTAAACTTCTATAATACAGTAACATAATGGCAGTAATGCTCCTTGAAATTTTATATAGCGCACACACAAACGGACGTAAAATATTAAATATATTACAATAATAATTATAACACAATGATCTTGTAATGTAATAGAATTAATTCTTATTTTTACTTTTTTTCAGCTTTATTATATTGTTTTATTTTATTCATATACATCCATGATCTATTAAGTTCGTGTTTTACGTAATAATAAATCAACATAAGTATATAGTTGCCTTTATAGAAAATAAAAGAAAAGAAAAGAGATGCTTGTTAATAAGAACAAAATTATATAGTACTTCATTTAATTCACTAACGTTAATTATCCACGAAAAATATAAAAACAAAAATACATTTTAAATGAATTTTGAACTATTTATCTTTTCTTTACTTACTTTGGTCCAATTTGTTGCACACACTCAAAACCTCCTTGTGGGCCTTCAATATCTTGATTATTTGATAGGCTGAAGGTAAAATTTCCGTGGTTTGATTTAATGGACGGAAAAGAGAGTTGCTGAAATCATAAAATATGTTTTATTACATATTAGATCAATGAATACAGTACTTAATTTAAAAATTATAAAAATATTTATATAGAATCCAATTATGTAGAAAAAATGATTAATGGTTTTAAATTATTTTAATGTTAAATATACTTGAAAAAACAGTTAAGCAAATCAATTCCAAAAACTTAAAGTGCTATGAAGATAAAATATTTCATATAAAATAGAACTATAAAATACTGCCTATACGTAATAACTATTTATTAGATATCAAACACAAGGTATCCAGAAAATATCTGATCAATAAAGTAACTGAACTATCTTGTTGAAATTGACACTTATATCAACTGTTAAAGACGACATTGAGCACGATTAATAAATTAAAATGTTTCTTAAATTCTTATAATATTGAAGAAAAACATAAAAATAATTTTCCATTTTTAAATATGGCGTAAAACTGAAAACCAAAGTTTTCAAAATGAAATTTACGAAATAAAATTATTTTTCAAAATTATTAATATTTTTAAAATTAAAAAATAATTTTATGTAGAGTATGACCAACTCTATTACAATTTATAATTCTACTGTTTTTAGAAAAAAAGAATTTAAAAATGTCAAATAAGATTAGAGCGTATAAAACTTTGCCAATAAAATGGTAACGTTTCTAAATATTATTATTTAATTCAAATACAATACACATTATGAAGTTAAGTAAGTGTAAATTATTCATTTTCATCTGAAATGATAAAGAAAAACAGAATACTATTTTAGAAAGTCATTTATATATATATATATATATATATTATACATTTAATCTTTATACACAATTCTTTTATAATAAATAATTTTTAATATTCTTAAGTTACTATTATTTCGTTTATTTAATTATTTTACCCATTCATCATAATACAACATTCAATAACTGAAAATAACGTTTATTTTTTCAATAACATTTATGCGAAGAATAAAGCTATTTAAAAAATACCGATTAAATTTTCTATGAAAAACTAAGATATACTGCCAATTTAACAAGCTAATATAATAAAGAGAAATTTAGTATTTATAAAATGAAATTTATAAAAAAAAATATATATTTAAAAAGTTAATTAGTTTACATCAAATTTCGTATATCTCGAAAATTATAATTTATACGAAATTGTCAATGGCCAATTTTCATATACAGAAACTGGAAATATAATCTAATATAACCAGTAAATATAGCATATATTATATAATTTAGTAGCTCTAGTAATGCATGTATGGATAAAACAAATAAAATTTTTTTTTAATTTTTAAAAATACTAAAATCAATAAAGAATAATATATAAAAATAATGAATAAATTATGATAAACTAACATTATTGATAAATTTATATAAAATCTATGAAAATTAAATGTTATGACAAATCAAAGAATTGATTACAAAAAAAAACAACTTCCGTGTAATACCAAATTTCTTAGAATGAAAAAATATTTTACTATGTTGAAGAAATTAATCCATTAGCAATTCATTTTTTTAGGCAATAATATTTTCTAAATAGACAGAAGGTTAACAGTAGAAAGACATTCTCGTTTTAATCATTTTAAGCGTTTGGTGCTACAATAAGAATTGCTATATTCATTTTAAAAAATATAAATAAAATATTTACAAGATTTGTACTTTGTAAGGATAAAGAATTTTAACAAATGATTTGTATATTTTCTCTCATTACTTTTCGAATTCGTAAAAATCACTATATTATCGTTTTTCTTGAAGTATTTATAAAAGGTTTTATAATTAATATTTTTTCATTTTATAATTTTTGTCCATTCATTTTTTATGTTTCAGAAATTAAAAAATTACAAATAATAGCCCATATTTAAATATTAAATTAAATTTTATCTATCTGTACACAATTCTATATATTTAAATCATTGATAAGTTATGCTATTAATTATTGTTATTTATTTGTTATATAGCTAATATATTTTAATTCTATTGACTACTAAAACATCTATAAATATAAATATAAATATATATAATCTACTTTTTTTAAAATATTTAATCAACTTTATGTACTGTATTGAAGTGTAACTGATTGCAAATTAGCCTCGAAAATAATTATAATTATTAGACTAAAATATGTAACTAAATAGATAATTAGAGAATAGAATTACTCACCCCTTCGTTTCCTAGGAACTGTATTGTAGGATTTTCATTAATTTTGTGCTGAAAAAAATTATTATTATTATATGAAGCTATATAAATATTTATACAGAAACAATATTATTATTATTGAATTAGTTTCCAATAAATTTAAAATTCATATTTTACAAGATTCTGAAGATTAAATAAGTAAAACCTTATTATTGGAATTTACTTTAAAAAGAAATGTTAAAATAAAATAGTAACAATAAAATTTGAGATCTAAAAATTTCTTCATCGCAAAATAAACATTGTATATTTCATTAAAAAAATTGATACAAAAACAAATTGATTTGGTTAATTAATGATTTATAATAAAATAAAATATAATTAAATACTGTACTCTTATACATCTAGTGGCACAAACTACAACGAATATATATGTAAAAGTACTTTTAAGAATAAAATCATTGCAACAAGTTTATTAACAAATTAAAAAAAATAATGTTTTAAAATAGACTTCTAAATTTTGTAAATTAAACCAAAGAAATAAACTGCAGGTATTTAAACATTATACTATAAAGTAAATACCAAGCTATTATAATCATTTGATAAGTTATAATAAAGACATAATGAAATAACATTACATTAATTTTTTTTCTAATTAAAGATAAATCTTTTAAAGTTTATGAATAAGTTAATCGGCTACAAAATATTTTTATAATTTTTTTCACGTCAAATATATAAATATCTGAAATAGCTATAAAATACTACACTCAATATTTATAAACAAACAAAATTTATAAATAAAAATTATTTTAAAGATAAAAAAAATGTTTTATATGATTTTTTTAATCAAAACTTCAATGAAAAAATAATGTAAAATTATAATGACAAATATGGAAGGTTAAATATTTGATTATCGTAGTAAACAACATTTAATATATTTATAATAATTTAAAATAATTATGGTAATGATGTAAATCTTTGAAAATTTAGTTTTAAAGGAAATGCGTTTATAATTTGAAACAATATTTGATTATAAATATTAAGCATATCATTTAGTTAGCATCAGTATCTACTTATACATAGTATACATTTTTGTCTTCTATATAATAATATACTGTTATCTTCTGTCTCTGGTAGTTTATATAGCATATGTTACTTATTGTACATTCAATATCATAATACATTTATAGACATTCGAACTACGATTTACGCATATAGCATTTGAAATACTTTTATATACATTGTTAAAAAATTTATATAAATAAGTGAAGAAACTATAAACAAATTATCAACTATACGTGTATTTTGCACGTTTTCTCGTTAAGTTATTATTGTAATTATTTATTTTTGTAATCTTTTAAACAGCCGTTTCAAAGAAATTTCAGTTACATCTTATTCCTGTTGAATAATGATTTAAAAATGATAAAACTAACAATAAACTATAAAACCAGAAACCTTATGCAAATTTTGTAAACAAACGAAGTTTTGAGCTTAATGGTTAACGAACTAGTAGAAAGTTTTTACGTTACCTCATAAAAATACAGTAGTTAAATAAAATATCTTGGTTTAATTGTAATAAGTTATGTAGCAAAAGATGTGTCTAATAAAGTTGTTCTTATATAATGTGTATTATTTTTGTTAGCTTATAATATTTCTGATTATTTCTTTAGTTGTAAACAACTCAGATAATATATTTCAAATATCATCTTACAATAGAAATTTAAAATTCATAAATTGAAGTTCTGACGAAATTCGAAATCATTCAAATGTTTCAGTAAAAAATTCATTTATATTAAATTATATTGAAAGTTCATAAAAAACAGAAAAGAATAAATTGTAAAAATAAAACAACTTAATAATAGTTATATGTCCCGTACTTGTTTAATATTATACTCAGGTGTATGTAGATATACGTAACTCAGCTATTGATTTAGTAACTTATAAATAAGCAGTATGTTATAGCTAAATTAATATATGTAAATTAATTTTTTGCTACTTTGTGAAATTTTATGAATTATGATATACTACGTATAAATTTTGAATACGCAAATGTAAAAAATTTTGTAAAATTTGTTTTTATAATTTTTGTAAAAATTCTTTTAATACTGGGATTAATGTTTATTAAGTATTAACTATGTGTAGAATACTGTAAACGTTTAAAATCATAGATAGCCATTAAAAAATTTAATTTTAATTAAAATGTTTAAATTACAATTTGTTATATATACTTGTACTCATAAAAATGCTATAATATTATTCAATTATCATTTATTAATTCTATTGTTAAATATTTCTAATAAATAATTTAAACTTATGATAAATAATCTCAGATGATAAGTTTCTTTCTAGACATACTAAATATATAATTTCATATGAGCTTACACTCAACATTATTGCACACTCTTTAGTTTAAATTGCTGGTAATTATCTGTAAAAAAATTAATACTCAAGAGACTGGATAAAAAATTTGAAACAGAAATTTAGTTTTTGAAATTGATCTGTTTATATGAATTAATAGAATATTCAAACATTCATCTTACTAGCATTATAGTTGAATATAATCAGAATCGACTTATATGTGATTTCAATTGGTCATCTTTCCATAAATAATATTTTATTTTTATTAGTTGCAATAAAAAAAGTAATGAGAAATTAAATTTTTAAATTGTATTCTCAAAATTGTTTAATCTATCTTATGAAAATATCGGTATGTCCTAATACTTAGCTTACATGTGATTTGGGCACTCAAATTTATCTATATATAAATATACTTATTGTTAGTAACATTCAATATAAAATAAATATATAAATATATATATTAACAGATACTCAAATCACACTTTCTGCTTACCACAAGAATAAAATTAAACAAGATTGTTCAATTAAAAAATTAAGTTTGATGATATTCTTGTTTGTATACTTATTAACCGATCAATTTTAGTTAAGTTAGAGGCTTTAGAGCTCTTCACTCTTCCTCTTACTATAACCGTTTTTTCTACATGTTTTATTACTTCTTATTTGTTTCTATCTCATTCATCATTCTTCTTTTGTTTTTATTACCTTATCTTTATGTAAATTATACCTTGCACCTCTTTCGTTCTAATAGTGAGCGTCACTATTCTCCATCACAAATAATTGCAAACTATTGTTCATACTTCCCTACTACCCCGTTTCCAAACCGACTTTTCTAGACTTCAAACATATTCCATCTTCAAGGCCAAAGTAATGAAATCATTTGACCTCGTTATAAATAATATAATTATCAATAATTAAATAAATAATTAAATTAAATAAAATAAATAGAAAATTTATTTTAAAACTAATTTATTTTATTCAATATGAAAATAAATTTGAATAATTTAATGTCTTAAATTAATCAGAATTCAAAGTACTAGAAATAGATGAAAATATTATCTTTACTTTTATGGAAATGTCATCAATTTATGTTTAAATTTTAAACAAATATTTTATATTATTTTTAAACAAATTTTAAATTTTAAACAAATATATATACATATAAATTATTACACAGTTACTAATAATAAATTAATATTCTTATAATATTAATTCATTGATAAAGATTAATGTTTTTGTAAAAAATGTTTTTAATAAATTCATCAAAAATAGCATTTTAATTTTATTTTAATCTATTAAATTAGTTTAACCGCAGTTTTTTTGTAATTTAAAAAAATTATTCCCAAAAACCTACATATTACTAATTCTTAACATTGATAAGGATACATACATTTTTTTAAAAATCAATTTATCAATTTGACTCAATGGTATTTTTAAATATATAAATATTTACATTGTAAAATAAATTTTTATGTTGATTTTATTAAATGTTAACTGATTTTGTCATACAAAGATATAATAGATCAAATTTTATTGATATTAAGCAGCCTTACTTAAAATCTGAATTTTTCTTAAATATTATAAATATTCTCATAAAAAATAAAAAATAAAACACATAATCATTATGTAATTGCTAAAAATATAAACTTTTTTTAGAATGGTCAAAATCATTTTAGTTTATTAACATAATAATATTTGTCTATTACTTATTTTATTTTAAACTATTTAAATATACACTATTTTAGGCTGATTTATTGTATTATGAATCTGTATAAAAACTTTTTTAATTTAAGAATAAATTACTGTTACAGAAAATAGTTAAACATATAAATATATGATCAACAATATGAGTATTCACAAAAATTTATTTAAATCCTATCATAATTATAGTAATTAAATTTGTAAGTTAGATTGTGTAATAACTAAACGTTTCAATAAGTAATGAAAGTTTCAAGCAGATGTAACATAAAATACCAAATAGAAATATTACATATTTCCATCTTTTTAATTCATTAGTAAAAACTGATTAATAATTTTTTATAAAATATAATATTTTATAATCTTGATTATATAATTGTTTCTGGATATGATATACACTTATTTCATTTTAGTTTTATTTTAGTTTTCTTTAACATAATTATTTTTAAAACTTATAAAATTTTACAAAAAGAAACTAAGAATATGAAATAAAATATAACAAAATAAAACTAATTATATAAAAGAAAAATATATAAATTAATATTCAATAATTTATGCTATTTTTCAATTAAAAAATGTCGATATATCAAGTAAATTGATAAAAATATATATTTATCAAAGATTTACAAATTATTAAAAAAAGAAATATATTTATTATAAAATATAAAATGTGACAAAAAATAAAAGATATATATTAATTTGTAAAGTTATATCATATTAATAAATTCACAGTTACATTAAAAAATTCAATTATTAATTAAAATTGATTAAAAGCAAATAGAGGCAAAATTAATGTAAAATATTTAAAATATATTAATTAAATTTATTTTATATTATTTAAAATTTATTTGAATATCATTTATCCTATAAATAATATTTATCCCAGAAATTATATTGATTTTGTTTTACATTCATTTGATTGTATTGTAAATATAATTGAAGTATAAAGAAAATTACAGTAGTGTAACATTTGATTATTATTATATATAGTTTACCTCACATACTATAAAAGATATATTAAAATGATTCATATCTGAATCATACTAAAAAATATCTGCAAAGTAATAATGTGAAATAATTAAAATAATATTAAAAAAGTAATAAGAAAAACAATTTAACAGTTATAAATTTAAGTTTTATCCACTTGTTAATAACAAAATAATCGGTTAATGATGGCATGAAAAATATAGAATAATTGTTACTTTTCTAAACATTACGTAATAAGTAAGTATATTTACTCATCTTTCAATAACCACCCATTTAATATCGCATATTATTTTTAATTTTATAAGCTCTTGCACATGTATTATTGATATGTACAGGAGCCAAAATGAAATTTAAATTAATAATAAGAATAAATAGTTAATAACGGCAGACTTCCGCTCTTTAGTTATTCGCCGTGTCACTGTTCTATCTTTCTAAACTCTCAAAAAATCAAAGTACATAAAAATATTAACATACTCTTTCACTCATATGAATGTACCATTTTTATTCACATTGATCTTGCTATATTTTTTACGTACTAATCATTCATTAAATAATTTATATATTATTCAAATATTCAAGACAAATTTGTTTTAAATTTTTCTGGGATATATTAATAGTCAGCTGAGCAATAGCAAAACCGATTGCGTAGGTGGCGCGATCGAAACAAGTATAAATATGAACTAAAACAGCTTAAAGTAACAGAAAATGTTAAAAAATCTCACTTACTCTATTTCGTACATAATCTTCAATGGCACGTTGCGCTGAATCCGTGAGTTTGACAAAGATGAGAGATTTATTTTCATAAAAATTACTGTGTGACGAAAGACCATACTGCACACCTGCCACCAGCGCCGCCATTTCTATCAGGTTCGTTTCTTCCTTATTATGTTTAACAGCAATGGACCAAAGGTGCAGCTGAGATTTTTTAATTGATTTCAAATTACTAATACTTCAAATAGTACTAACCTCCAAGTTAGTTATTTTTGCACATTATCTTCTAAATTATTTGGTATACATTAAAACTTAACAGCTATGAAAAATTAAGATATTTGAATATATTTTTCAACAGCTGGCTGCAGTAGAGCACTTGGGCGATTCTAAAAGCTTAGAAGTTAAAAACTCTATAATGATGAATTAATAATTGTAAAAAGGTACGGACTGATAAAATGACAGAAAAGGGAAATTTAGAGGTTTAGAGTTTGCGAAGGAAATAGGGAACAAAAAAAAATAGAAAAAGAATGAGGAAATACGACCGTCACCGCCACCGAAAAAGTGGTAACAACTGGTAACACACTAGATATTCAACTACGTCCATGTCCTGCGAAACTAACGACCTCCAACGGATATATTTAAGCATTTATTCGTACGCTTACGTCTTGCATTATGAAGTATAGACCAGACATTCAATATATTAATATTTAACACTAATTATTAACAGGTAAAATAATAGTGTTCATTTTCATATCTAAACATACATTATAATAATATACATTTAATATTATCCATATAAATATGTGGTAAATTATAAATAATAATAAAACTTGTTTATATAATATATTGCTAATTATTTAAAATTATTATATTAACATCTTTAGAATATATGATACTTAAAGTTATTAAAATGAACTTGATGTTCAGAAAATAAGTAGTATTTTTTTTTTTCATTATTTTCATATGCAGAAAACAAAACATTCAAAATATAACAGAAATAAATTTCATAACGTTTGTTTTAAATGTATGTTTGAAGAAAAATCATCACGCATAAATAGTAACTAAAACCAAAAAAAAAACGAAAGATGTATTAATATTATTTTTATCGATCTTACGTGATTTATTGAAAATTAAATAATATTAGGTAAAAGAATGTTTTAAGCATTTATTTATAATAAAAACCTACATTTAAAAAAAAAGGATTTATAAAAACATAAACAATTTCAGTTGAAAGTAAACAAATGAAAAGGAATAAAAACTTTAAAAAGAAATGTAAACAATATCACATTTAAAATAAAGGTGTGATGAGACCAAAAGTTCATGTAACTCAATTCTACATGCTCTCAGAGTGGTTAAAAATACACTAAATTATTAGTGTTTTTATATCACGTGCATTGAAATATTATAATTAAATTAGTCATTTATATTTATAAGAAAATGTTATCACTTTGACAAATACAATTGATTTAAAATTTATATTTTAATAATTAATTTTTATTAATCATAAAAGGTTAAAACACGTCTAGAAACATTGTCTTTTCTTTTTCATTATATGTGAATTTTTTACTACAATTTTAATATATCACTTCCTAAAACTAAACTTTGTATTTAAGATATTTATTTACATATCCTATTAATATATATTTTCTTATATATTCCTATTTTTTGTAATCCCATATAATATTTATCATAATTTTATTTATATATTTGATACAGTAAGTATTCATTTCATTCATTTTTCAAATTTTTCTTTAAATTTCAGATTATAATTATTATGTTATACAATAAGATATTCAGATTTTTTTCTTTATTATTTATTTTTTAGTATTTTTATCATTTTTATTATAGTTATTTTAATATTTTATTCTGCGTATTATTCTAGATCACTTTTGCTCTTTTTTTTAATTAAATTTGCTAACGTTTTTGTCATTCCGATTCCATTCATAAATAAATAATTTTCTTATCCTCTGCTTCTATTATTATATTCAAATACAAATAATTATTGCTAATAAAAACTTTTATACAATTTTTTGTAATTACTATTTTTAATATAGATATTTAAGTGTTGTATTAGAGTATATACTATGATCTGTATCTATTACAATCTTGCTGTCTTCAAATTTTAATAAATAATAATTAGAGTTTTAATTATTTCGCATTTCTTGAAATATAAATAAATATATTTGTTTGAGAATGCGAGAACGTAAAATGCAATAAAACATCTGGAAAACTCCAGTGGAACGTGCCCTTTGCTTTACAGAACAGTGAAGCAAATAAGTTTATTGCTGGAAAAAACCTTCGTGTAGATTCCGAACGAATATCACTCGATATATGAAATATCGAGTACAAAACACTTCTTTATTTATTGCAACCCAAAAGTCCCGAACGAGCGACAACTTGTATTAACCGCTTAGACTTATTAAGACAACACATGCATTGCCTCTGTGTCAGTCACATCTGGTCGGTCGCCTCCAAAACTGACCACGCCCAAGAGGACCCTTCATCTAGCCAAGTCCCAGAGAAGGGAGAAGCAATTAAGAAGAGATGACCAATAGCAAAAACTCCCCACTTCCGACACTTCTCTGATTAGCATATTCGGAAGTGAACTCGGAAGGAAGTGGAGATGAAGGCGTGCATAATCCATTATGCTGTCTTAAAACGACATCTGATTGGTTAATTAATAGAAAAGGGAGTTCCTAGCGGGGTGGGACCAGTGAAGCGCTGAAGATAGAAAACTGTAACGCACCGAGAAAAACACTTACTCTTTCTAAATACTTCTTACAGTTGAAGCATAAGTCACGACGCACTCTCACGGAGGAAAACCAGAGAGACAAGTCGCTTTAGCTAGCTGAGTTTGAATAAGAAGTTCTTTCTACGATTGTGAAATAGTATACAGTTGAATTAATCTCATCAAGACTAGATTGCATAGGATCTGACTACTCGCAACCTTGACTGCACACGTGTTAAATAAACCCG